AAAAAAAAAAAAAAAAAAAGAGAAAGAAAGAAAAGGGGGAAGACCAGGTGGCAACGACAGTGAGGGGATTATATACATATATATACTTTCCTTCCTTACTTTTTTTCTTTCCCTTCCTTGTTTTGCTTTTTTCCGCCTTTGCGCTCATATACATTTTTTATTATTATTATTATTATTTCCTCTTTTCTTCCTTTTTTCATATCTCGATCTATGCGTGTCATCCTTGCGCAGGGGCCATGCTAATCTTCTCTCTCTGTCTCGTTCCCACTTTAAACGGATGTCCCGAAGGACAGGTTTAGAATTCCGAAGTAGCAGGAGACCACGTGGCTCGTGCTGGAACAAAAGGATTATCTGATTCGGATAAGGCAGAGACCACGTGCGCTGAAGCGAAAGGATGATCTGATCCGGATAAGGTGGAGACGACGTGGCCAGTGCTTCAGTTAGGACGATCTGATTCGGATAAGGTGGGGACCACGAGGCAAGTGCAGCAAGGATAATCTTTTTTTTTTTTGGTTGGATGATTACCTGATTCGTAAGAGGTGGAGGGAGACCACGTGGCACGTGCTGCAGCAAAAGGATTAGCTGCTTCGGATATGGTCGAGACCACGTGGCACACGCTGCAGCAATACGATTGTCTGCTTCGGATATGGTGGAGACCACGTGGCGAGTGAGGCAAGAATTATCTTTTTTTTTTGGGGGGGGGGGGGGGGTAATTACTTAATTTGTAAGAGATGGAGATCGCGTGGCAAGTGCAGCAGCAAGTAGTATCTGATTCGGATTAGTTGGAGACCACGTGCCACGCGCTGCAGTAAGGACTTAAGGACTATCTGATTCGGATAAGGCCTGGAGACCACGTGGCGAGTACAGTGAGGATCATAATGTGATTCGGATAAGGTGGAGGCCAAATGTGGACGTTATTAGTGCGAGAGGTGATCGCGGTCGCCACCACTGACTGGGCAATCGGGATACGAACGCGAACGCATAGATAGGCAAGACTTACCACACGATGGGCCTCGCTCCACTACACAACACTGTACATGCATTTGGACGCTTTCTTGCCCGAATACATTCACAACTTTGGAATCGTACGAATGCACCTGGTCCCTCAAGAGTCCAAATGCCTGTACAGTGTTGTGTAGTGGAGCGAG